TTTTTGTCAACCCTACATTCCGAGCTCAAGGAAGGAATCTCTGCTGAACAGTCGACTCATTATAATCACATAAATAATCGCTCTGAAAAATGTGGCAAATTGATGCTGCAAAATTTGTGCCGTAAATCAGTGACGTGGGCGTGTTTTACGATATATTGATTGCTCTGCCAGTTATACCGATGAAAAAGATCGATAAACAGGGTGTTTGCAACGAAAACCTTTCCCATCGATCCTTTACCACAGCTTAGAGGAGAGATATCATTAATTGATCATTCACGCCTCGCCACTGGATTTTATACATCGATATTGAAACTTCCGTTGCAGATTTCTTATACTTCATTTTTTACATGGAGAACCACTCAACGACAATTCTTAAAAATGTCCTTAAATTTTCTACTCCGTATGAATCAAATTCGGAGAAAATTTCAAGGAATGATGTTGATTTGTTCTACTTTAAGAAAATAGAAAATATTTTAGATTTTTATCAGTCAGTCGCCCTCGAAGCTATGCATGATTTAAACAGGCGCGTTTCATGCTTAAATTGTTTATTCAGTTTAAACGATCATATCCGTTATATTCAAATGGTTAGCGTCTTTGAGGAGAAAAAAAAAGCCTTTCAGAGCACTTTCCCTCTAGATAAGCTGAATTATTTTGTTCACAGGCAGTGCCGGGCGAAAGCAGTTCAACAGCTGCGACAGAAAGCTTACATCGTCTGTTGAACGAGTTGAAACTTTTAGAAAAGGATCGGCAGAAAGAACTAAATAAGGCCCTCGGAAACCAAGAATTCATGAGACACAAACCTATATGACCGAATTTTTATCCATTCTATCGTTTGTGGACTGTCTTTTCATGGAATATCTCTGTTACTATGATGCAGTGAATACATTGATCCACTCCGATGAGGGATCGGAGGCTTCAAGGAAGGTAATATTTTTGCCCAAAGTGAAACTTTATTGCTCGAAGGAAAATTTTATTTCGACCAAAAAGATTATTGATTATTACTTTGACCTCCATACATACAAGTCACTTTTACAGCGCGTCCGAGCGCTCTGCGACACCTAATCACCATTCTTGTCTATCGACCTAGAGATCATCTGGTAAATGGCATCTTGTGATTTCATCTTGAATGCCACCCATCCACGATTTTGCTGGGCGTCCTCTACGTCTCGTCCCAAGAGGAACCCAATCTAGTACCCTCTTAGGCCTTGTCTCCACGAGCCGTTTCACGAGATTTGTCCCAGGGAAAAATCCCACTTACGAAGTTGGGAAAAATATTGAGTTAATCAATATTTTTCCCAGTACCAAGTATGGTACTGTACCCCTAGGATCCACTGAGAGAGGAAGAAGAAGTGAAAACGAATCGTGCGATATTTTATTCATGTCTACATTGTTAATGTTTGTTTAGTTAAAAAATGTGTCTAATTGTCAATTGAGTGCAATTATTATTTTAATCCCGGTTAAATACTCGACTTTAACTAATTTATCTTCCCGCGTAAACTAGTCGCAGGACTGTATGAGCCCCGTCCCGTGGAGACCGGTAACTGGGAAAAATCCCAGAAGTTTCATTCCTGCGATTCGAACTTGGGACAAATCCCATGAAAACGTCCCGTGGAGACAAGGCCTTAGGCAATCTGTCATCCGCCATTCGTTGACCATGACCATACTAGACAAGCTGTTTGATCATAATTTCATGCACGATGTTCTGCTCGGCATTCATGATCTCACGCACTCTTTCGTTCCTTGCGTGATCTGATCCCCTCTCAAGATTCCAGCTGATCTTCGCCAGAAATCCATGTCAGTTAGCCTTAAGGGGAGCCAGCCACTTGAAAATTTAAAAAAAATGTTTTTTTATTTTCTGGCTAATCTTAATCTCCTACTCCTCACGTTTAATTTCAGACCAAGTTTTACTTGATCTGCTGAGTAGTTTTGAAGTTACGCGCGGTTTAGTGAGGGAAGGTTTACTAAATACACTACTAATTACACTAAAACTGATTTTTCTGGTTTTTTTTTTAATTCCTCATTTCCCGAAAACTACATCTTTCAGCACTCATGTACCTTTTTCTCAGGATCTACTGAACCGATTTTCAAAAACTTTGTTTTGTTCTAATCCTTGCACTCTCCTGCACATCTTAACACGAGCTTTTCCAAAATTTCGAGCTGGATTTTTTTTAATTTGATTTCAAATGTCCAAATTCTTTGATTTCCAACAAAAAAATTTCAAAAATTCACCAAAATTTCAAATTTTTAAATTTTAAAAAAACCCGTGTTAAAATGTTCAGGAGGGTTCAAAGTTCAAAACAAAAAAAAGAAGTAATTTTTGTTCAGTAGATCCTGAGAAAAAGGTACAAACGTTAAAATTGGAAAGATAGGGTGTCTGGCTCCCCTTAAGAATCATTTGGGTACGATCTTTCATAGGCCATACTTCACTGCCGAAGATCTGAATGCTTTTGATTGTGGTGTTATAAATCAATCTCTTTTCTATCAGAGATACTTCAATCTCAAAGAATCTCATTTGACATAGCAAAAGCTTTCCGTCACTGCAGGTTTCGATCTCTTATGGCTTAGTCCATCTCTCCATCCTGGTATACTCAAACTCCTAGATATTTTTAATGTTCGCAGGATGTAATGAAGTGAAATTTACATAATTTGGCAATTATGGGCCAATTTTGAGCAATCGATAGACTGAGCTCCATGTGATGGAAGGATGGGAAATTTACAATGCAATAAAAAATGTCAACGTATTCCATTTTATTGCAATAAATTTTGACCACAGGTGTTCCTTCAATTTAACTTATAAAACAACAATAAAGCTTTAATCTAGAAATCCTCAGCAAAATTCACGTATTTGAGTGCGTTACCGACTTGTCCGTTTCTTTAAAATAAAAATAATTAAGATATCCATATTATTGAAATATTATCTTTATCCATAATTAAAATATATTCATTTTATTTGTTTTTATTTTTTATTTGCAATCTTTCATTTTTGTATTTAAAATTGAAACTTTGTTGCAGGCCATTAAGACCATTGAAGCATCTACTGAGCAGGTAGTCCAATTCAATAATATAGTAAAATCGCAGGGTGAAAAGCTCTCTCCACCCAATTTGAGGATGACCGATCAAACGGACCACTTACAAGCTTTATTCAAAAGCACCATTGAGAAAAATGAAGAAATTGAGGCCCACCTTCGCCCTAAATTATCCGATCCTTCGTTCAAAAAACATATGAAGGAAGTGCCGCATCTACCCGAAGGAGGAGGTGGAAACAATAGTGATGTAGGAAAGATTATAAGTGCACATTTTTGCGCAAAAAAATAAAAAATTATAAAAGATTACCCGATAGTATTCAATTATATAGTAAAACTTAACCTGCAAGCCTAAAATGAAAACCCACAACTAATTTTACCAGTTACATACGAATGGTTTCATCTGTTCAGTAGTAAAGTGAGAAGTGATACACTGCAACTGATGACTCTTTAAAATCGAGTCCCTACATTTTTGAATGATCGCTGATTTTTTATACATATTAATGGTGAAATTCCAAACCACGTACCTGGATTTGCGACGTTGCAGACTTCCCATCATACTTTATTTTTAAAATGGAGAACTTCTCAACGGCAATTCTCAAGAATGTCTGCAAGAAGAAACTTCAAGAAATAATTTAGATCTGTCTTATTCTAAAAAATGAATTAGGAGCAGAGATTTTTAAACACCAAAAACGAGATACGAGATTAGGGAGTTTTTACGTCCATATATAAAAAGATGCATATTATTATCCATCTAATAATTTCAAATTCATTTTTATGAATCTTCCGAGTCTACGCCGCATACGTTCCCGCGCCTTTAAAATGCAATAGACAATCCGCATTATTGATCTGTGCCTTATTCTAATGCTAAACTATAGACAGATCCTCTGTTGCACTCCGAGATTGCGTAAAATTATTTTGTGTAAACTATATTAATAAAATAAAATATAATACTCATCATACTCTAGTTTTAGTTCATCAAAAAATGACGCTCATGAATTTCCAGCCGCTCTTGCAGTTGTAATTTTTTAGTGCTTTGTGTTTCTCTAAACTTAATTAATTTAATATTCAGGAAAATATTTTCTATCTCGTTGCAATCAGATGTGATCTCAACAAATATAATCGTTAATCTTTCATGAAGTTGATTTTTGTATTGCTCCACAGTCCGAATATGTTTATTTTCCCATTCTTTTATCATTCAAGTAATCTAAATTCTCCTCAATGAAGACTGAAATTTTTGATAAGGAAGTAACGGACGCACAAAAGTTACCATCAACTGAATAATGTAAGTTCAATACCTTCCTGTGTGGTCCAATAAATATTTACGTATAATCAGAATGATACTAGGAGTGATACTTTGTGTTGCGTCTGTTCTTGCCAAAGTTGCTGCAAGAGTGAGTACAGTGTATTAATAAGTTTCTAATAAAAACTAAGGAACTACTGGATGTTACACAAAAAGCACCGCAATGTATGAATACTCATCAAAATTTCACGCAAAGTACTTTACATCATGCGTTAAAGAATACCCAAATTCAATTTATCGGTAAAATTTTAACTTTTAAGGATACGTTTGAATAATTCCTTATAATTTCTCACAGGAGGACCGAAATCGAAGTATATTTCAAATTTGCCACTGAAAACATAATTCAACAGCAGGTAATTAGAGTCTTTTCACAAATGGAACAGTTCACGTATGTACATTAAACAAACGGCCAATTTTAATTGAACATACAGTTATTAGTTGAGAGATCGAATCAATGAGGCTTGAAGAAAATTTCTCATTTGATTTTGGGAACAACTGATTCCCGTGGTATTCATTCTCCTTATAAGGTCATATTTTTCTTTCATAGGCAGTACCAGCGGCGGTCAGCCAAAAAGCAGCGCCAAAAATCGTTGATCAGTTGCTCAACGACATGAAAGTAATAGAAAAAGACCGGCAAGAAGCACTTAAAAAGGCCATTGGAAACCCAAAATTGAAGGCAGACTCTAATATGGTGGAATTGCTATCCATTCTATCTTTAACGGACTCTCTTTTCGTGGAGTATCGTCATTACTACGATGCAATGAACACTTTGATCCATTCCGATGCGAAATCGAAGGCTGCGCACGAGGTAAGACCAAAAGAAAATACAATGACCAAATGGCAATGAATGAAAACATCAATAAAATGGAAAAGTTACATGGAAGTGTTCCAACATTGTATTCCTCCCTTAAATCAAACATAAAATTTACGGAAAATGTAAAGATTCATTGGTTAGGCAAGATCAATTTTAGAAGGAATTTAGGGAAGAAAATTTTGAATCTTCTATATTTTTTTACATAACATTGGGGCCGTCCCTACATTAAGTAACGTACTTTTTTGGCATTTTGATCCCCCCCCTCACCTTGTAACGTTAATCTGACGTAGCTCTCTATCCTTTAACGCGCAAAAACAAAATAGCGTAATGTCTCCTCGACCCCCCTCCTCCATAGAGCGTTACGTAATTTAGGGAAAGCTCCTTTGTTATATTCCTGTAAAGTGCAACCATCAAAATTCGATTTTGTTACATCTGAAACTTACTGAGTGATTATATACGCTTATTATAGTGCTAAACAGTATTGCAGCATTTCTAAATCATCTTACGGAGTAGCCGAAAAGTATTTCTACTAACACGAGGTCTCGTATTGTGAGATAGAAAGGATAAAATCTGCAAAACGTAAAAGTTCGTGCTGTGAAGCATAAAACCTCTAGTCGAAACACTACAAAACGCACTCCTTAGCAAAGATGTATTCAAAACATACGATTGTCTCTGTTTTTCTCTATTGTTTACTTTTAGTTTCCCACCTTTGCTTTCAATATCACAACTTTGTTTCAGGCCATGGAGACCATCAAGAGGTCTATAAAGCGGTCAGTCAAACTCAATGAAATTATTAAAATGAAGGGTGAAAAGCTCAACCCACCCAATATAAACATGGATGGCCTAACGGAATTCTTACAATCTCTATTTGAAAGTACTCTCGAGAAAACTGATGAAATTGAGGCAGAACTTCGTACTGAATTCTACAGTTCTCCGTTTACAAAGAATATGAAGGAAATGCCGCAGATTCCCGAAATACCTGAATTTTGATTGGAACTATTGTCAAGATTAAGAAAAGAAAGGGACATTAGAATAACGAGAGAGAGGAGAAAAAAAGAAGTGAGGTAGAAATAAATTAATTTTTTGACAAAAAGTTTGAAAATTAGTGCCTAGGCCCAAAATAAAGACTGAATTGTGTAATATGAATAATTGTTTCTGTTTTGTAACATAAAAGTCGTGTATCATAAATATAAATATCTACTCTATTTACCTTCCAATTTGCAATGATTGCTTCTTCTCATTGATACATTTTTTGTGCATATAAACCTTTTTTTACTCGTCCTCATATGTGGATAAATTGATATCGGCTTATTATGGCCCATGATTTGGAACGCTCAACGTGCAACATTTCAACGTCACGTTCAAATTGTCTATGAAAAACACTTGTTTCGCAAAAACACCTGAAAATTAAAAATATTAGGTACAATAATTGAATTGGCACGGAATTTTTATTTGCTTCTGTTCATTTCCCAAAAAATTGCCTCCTGACTGATAGAGTCAATGACGAAAATATGAAGAGATCATAAACATTGATATGGGTCATTTGAAAAGAAAGAGGGAGTGCTCAGGCTCACCTAGGGGCATTGTTATTGTTGGTACGTGAGTTCTTTGCAACATGGATTTTTCATTGCTGCTCTTCGTTGCGTCAGTTTTTGCTTTTGCAAAGGGGAAGGTATGTTGCTCATCGTTCATACATGTTATGTACGCGTATTTACGTGTTTGTAAAAATCCGGCAAGAGAATCTTATGCAGAGGTCAGCAATAGAACTTAAATCAGGGCTTTTGCTTTTACGTATGTTTTGACTAGAATTTAATCACGATATTTAATCTTGTTTAAACATATCCAAACTCTTTTAAAATAATTAGAAACGCATCATCCAGATTATTATTTAAGGAGGGGCTTGGAGGAAAATTTAGTTTTTGCTATTTCAGAAAATACGTATTTATGTCAAAACTACATGAAGCCTCGTGGCGGGAAGAAAGTATAAACTTTGATCCGTAAAAATTGAATTTTAGAAATAAATTCACAGAATATAATTTCAGACTAGTTTCGGTTTACATAATTTATTAACAACTCAATTATTTCAAAAACTGCACTCGTGTGACTTGTCCTCTGAGACCCTTACTTATAGTGTAGTCTGTGAGTGAGTATTCCTGGGTATCGAATGGAATCTTAGGGCTTGTCCACACGAGCGTAATTCGTGGAACTTTTGAACAAATTCAGTAGTGTACCATGCTTTGCGATGTATAGATTGATCCTTCATTTCAAGCCGTGGAGAAGGAACGATAGACAGGGTGCTCGCGATGAACACCTTAATAGTTGATTCTTTACCATAACTTTAAATGGGTGAATATATTTATATTTAGTGATAGTATCGACTTGATCATTCACGCCTCGCTGCTAGGCAAATTAGTTCTACGAACTGGGGTTTTGCGGAATAAGTAATAGGGAAGTTACAGTACGTTCCCGGAACAAGTTCGCCCGAAAATCCTTGAGCCACGCTCCAGTGGACAAGGCCTAAAATACAAATAATTTATGGTGAAAATGAGGTTAATCCCTTTTGATAAAAATCCATGTAAATTTTTTTGGCAGGCAATCCCGCAGGACACTCCGCATGCCATTTCAAAAACAGCTCCGCAAGTTGATTTAAAGGTTATCGAGAAAAGTTTTGGGCATCTTGTAAATGGACTCAAAGGCATAGAACTTTGGAGACGGGAGATTCTAACCAACGCTCAGGAAAACCCCAAGTCACTGTTAGAAAAAAAGGCGTGAGTTTCACATTTCGGCGGAGAACATACGGAACCAGTTCCGTCCGCGTGAGAATTCCTTGAGTGAAAAATCGAGGGTTGAGTCTAGTCACTTTTAACTGTTGATTCTCATCCTTTCTCCGCCATCGCAGCACGCCGCACGGGATGGTGCTTTCGTCGCCGAGGATTGACTCTAGTCCCGCTTGGGATGATGCTCAACCCGCGGAGGATTGATTCTCAACCCGCGGAGGATTGATTCTCAACCCGCGGATGATTGATTTTCAACCCGCGGAGTATTGGTTTTCGACCCGCGGAGTATTGATTATCAACCCGCGAGGATTGATTCTCAACTCGCGAGGATTAATTCTATTGTGGTATTATTTCGGATGATTTATTTGAAATTATCCAAAGTTCTACTCAAATGAAGAACAGTGAACTGAAAGTGTGTCTCGGCAATCTTTAACCTAGGTTTTGTGAAGTGTTTGTGATTACCAGAAGACCAGAACCATGCAGCTGTTGCTGAAAACTAAGTTCGAAAAAACTATGAAATATATGGAAGTGTGCAACGTTGCAAACGGAGATACGTGGTTTCGCACTTTGATTATCGATATGCAGCTCCTGAAAAATCTGTATAATTTCGCATCTCTGTACCCACTGAACATTCGGTTAGACTTTACAAAGAAACTGTAACTTAGGATTTGTAATTGCATCTTTTCTTCCTCAATAAGAATAATAAATTGGACGTATTTCTGCCAAACGGAACTATGTGCATTAAGACATGAGCTCTGAGACCCATAAGAATATATGCATAACAGGGCTCACGTCATAATGCACATAGTTCTGTTTGGCAGAAATTCGTCCAAATATAATCAATTTGAACTTGATAATGCTGATGCGGTTTCTTTCCAATCGTTAACTAGGAGGTTGCAAAAAGCACTAAGATTACGCAGAACAAGCACAGGAACATGCATTGCAAGGTAAAAAAAATTGTAAGAGTTCAAATCTGCCTACTTTAAATCGGCTATATAGATGATGATGCAGGATATCATACCTGTTCTCAAGAATTCAAATATGATCTCCTCCTAGGTAGGCTGATCGGTTACGTTTAAAACTATATATTTCATAGTTTCTTCGAACTTAGTTTTCAGCAACAGCTGCATGGTTCTGGTCTTCTGGTAATCACAAACACTTCACAAAACCTGGGTTAAAGATTGTCGAGACACACTTTCAGTTCACTGTTCTTCATTTGAGTAGAACTTTGGATATAAATCATCCAAAATAATACCACAATGAAAGTAAGCTTAATGGCAAATAATCGAGACAAAAACGGATACTTACAGCCACCGACCGCGCTCGCGATTAAACTGGCGCGACGAAATGACCGTTACAAATTCCTTCTAGATCTTCGCTTCCCCTTTCGGAGGGGGAATCGCAGGAACGGAGGGGCCCGTGAACCCCGTGGCATGGATGAGACTCAACCGTTGTGGGTTGACACTAAGACCTCAGCGGACGAGCTTGTGAGCTGGAGAAAGAATTTGCTATCTTCAAACCTTTCGGGTTGTTTTTCAACGCTGTAGTGATGTAGCTCAAACTGCAAAGATTGATTCGCATGCCGTCCTAAATTCTCAATCCTTTTCTCACTCCGTAATTCTAACTCCGACTCCGAAATTTTTAACAGTGACAAGGAAAACGCCCCCCTGGTCGAAAGCTTTCAACTTCTGAACGAAATTGATTCCTACCTAATTAAAGCACGAAAATATTATCAAGCTATCAACACACTCATTCACTCTGACGAAAATTCATTGGATGCAAAACAGGTAAAATAAACTTTATTTTACATGTATTATTATACCCTATATTACCCATGTAAGCATAGTTTAGCGATTTGCGTCCCTCAAAATCCAAAATCCAATATTAATTTATGCCATAGAGGGTTAACCTCTATCATTAAAACTATTTTTCATGAAAAAAAGCGCCACTGCAAGAAGGATTTCAAAAGCCGTTAGGGATCTTAAATAGTTGCGCGCAGAAGTGCTGTCACTTACAGTCAGTCCCGGCGAGGGACTTACATTATTCGGCCCGAGGCAGAAAGGAACCAAACCACATCAGCCATTGTCAAACTTAACTGGGCATTTTAATTTTTTACATGAAAACGATTGTTTGGACTTTTGTGTAAATTTCAGTGACTTTGTTGCATAGTGCGAAGCAAATCCTTTAACATTTTCAAAGAAATCAGCACAAACGTTCTCATGTAAAAAATTAAATTGCCCAGTAAAATTTGACAACAGCTGATGTTGCTTGGTTTCCAATGACTCTCCTTGCTGCACGTCTCTTGTTGCGTCAAGTGCGCCTTCAATAACAGTGAAGGCAATATGATCGGCTTGAGAGTACGAATAGTTGCATGCAGTAATTTTTCCACAATTGCTTAGTATCAGCCAAGAAAAAAATACAAGCGTCAGAATCGCTTACTTTAAAACTGATTTATGTGTAACAAGTAATTATTTCGATGAGAAAATTTGATAATAACATGTCCAACTCTTGCAGACTGTCGCAACTATCAGCAAACTGAGAGAAAGATTAATCCACATCAAAGACACCGTTCAAGAGCGTGGAAAAGCCTTTAAACCTGCTACCAATGTACCTCAAGATAGTGAACTGCACTTGCTGAAAGCTGCGTTTGACGCCACAGCGGCAGAATGTTTAGCGATCGAGAAGGACCTTCGAGACATGACTAAAAATTCTCCGTACAAAAAGTACCTCAAGGACATTAAACCATTATAATGTTTTGTAACTTCGAAAGAATCATTTTTTTGTTACGTTTTTTGTATAAATAATTGAATAAATTAATGTGATAACGTAAACACCTTCAAATAATGACAATGAAAACTTTCAATAGTCTTAGAAGAAGTGATTATTTTCCCTTTTTCTCGCAGCTTCTTCAGAGTAAAAATTAGCAGGCCCAAGTTGTTGGGACATTTAGATTCTAGTAAAGTTTCACATGAATTATACGTATGTAAAACCTGATTTAAAATAATACGAACAGAATAAAAAATAATTCCCTATAATTGATTTTTCAGATGTTCTGACTCATTACCTATGTTTATTGCCTAAATGACACTCTTGTCAATCTTAGAGCATTTTATTCAGTGAAAATTTTGTATAATGAAATGTAGGTATATATATATATGAGTCGCTTTTATAGCGCTCTTTGGCGCTGTGCGACGCCTAATCGCCACAAAGCTCGGTCTTCCCACAGGTCATCAGGGAGTTGACAATCTCTTATCTCATTTAACACCCCCTGTCGCCAACCTCGCACTGGGCGTCCCCTACGTCTCCTCCCAGGAGGAACCCAATCAAGCATCTTTTTTGGCAGCCTCTCTTCCGTCATCCTATTGACATGACCATACCAAACAAGTTGTTTGGTCATGACGTCGAACACGATGTCATTTTCGACTTCCATTATCTGACGCACTCTATCATTACGGACCCGATCTCTCCTAGAAATTCCTGCTGACCTTCTCCAGAAATCCATCTCCGTTGCTCTTAGCATATCCTGTGTCCGTTTCTTCAGCTGCCAAACTTCACATCCGTATGTTAATATACTTTTGACTACAGCGTTGTATATCCTCCTCTTGTTATCTTTGGAAATCCGCTGATCCCAGAGGATTCCATTTAACATCGCTATAGCCTTCCTTGCTAAGGTGTTCCTTTCCCTGATAGCTTGATCCGTCCTTCCATCCTGGGTCAACCGCACTCCCAAGTACTTAAAGTGCTCGCAGCCTTTGATCTGCTGCCCATCCTCCAACTCAATGCTTTGCTGATCACCGCCAAAAGTCATCTTCTCAGATTTGGATATGCTGACTTCCAGACCCCACTTCCGATACTCTTCTACTAGCTTGCGCATCATGTATTCCGCGTCATCTTGATCTTGAGCAACCACCACCTGGTCATCAGCAAAGCACAGAGTAAACAGAGTTTCGAGATCACCCAAGGGGACACCCATACCAGAGCATTTCTTTTTCCATTCTTTTAGCACGCACTCGAGATAAATTTTAAATAATGTTGGCGACAAACAACATCCCTGTTTTAAACCCTTAGTCACATAAAATCCCGCTGACAACCCCCCATGGCACTTAACTTTGGTAAAACTCCCTTTATAAAATCGCTTAACAGCGTCAATCAACCCCCCGTTAAAATTCGATTTTTCCAAGGCCTCCCAAAGTTTCACCAACGGCACGCTGTCATACGCCTTCTGGAGATCCACAAAAATTAAATGCAGTTCCTGAGCTACGGCCATTTTCTTCTCAATGACCTGGACAATAACAAAGAGGTGATCTATCGTAGACCTGCCAGCTCTAAAACCAGCCTGCTCCTCTGCTTCGTGATCCTGCCATTCGTCCTCGATCTTCGCTTTCAGTATCTTCCCGTACACTTTGCTTATTGTCCCGGTCACTGAGAGCCCCCGGTAGTTGTTACAGTCGTCCTTCCTTCCCTTCTTTTTGTAGATGGCCTTGATCCAAGACTCCTTCCACTCCCTTGGTACCTCGTCACCCCTGATGCATTGTTGCATCAGTTTTCTGAGGCACTCAAAGAGCTTGGCAGTCCCGTACTTGACCAACTCGACAGGAATCCCACCAGGACCCGGTGCTTTGTCATTTTGCAGCTCTTTGACCGCTTTAATTATGTCACAAGTGTGGATCTCCAAGTTGTTCATTCTTCCGTTGTCCGTGCTGTTGTCTCGAAACTCTGGGCGCCTTTCCGTCAAAAGATCTTTAAAATGATCCTCCAGTTTTTTAAGTGATATCGGAGAAACGATGTCGCGCTTCATGTCTCTACGCAAACCTTTAATTAACTTCCAGCTCTCAGCACTTTTTCTCCCCCCTAGGTAGGTGTTAATTCTAGAACAGTTGCTTTCCCAAGCTTCATTCTTCTTCCGTGTTATGAGGCTCCTAACTTTAGACTGAGCTTTCCTGTAAGCAACTTTATCTTCAGTCTTTTTAGACGACAGAAATATAAGGTGTTTTTGCCTCTTAAGATTTATCTCGTCTTCAATTTCTTCATCCCACCAGTAAGGATGCTGGTATTTATTACTGGTTTTGTGAACACCTAGGGCTTCTTTCGCTGCAGAGTGGATACAATCTTTGATGAACTGATATTGCTCTTCCGTGGTACCCGAGAGTCCATCCCCCAGCTTCTCATCTAAGCGTTTCCGATACAGAGCCTTGACACTAGGGTGCTCCAAACTTTCGATGTTATACCATACTTCATGATTTTGCGTTCCCTGACTCTGCTGTTGCTCAGGCATTGGCTCTTTGCCTTTAATCCCTTTAACGGGAAACGCTATATCTGCTCGGAGGAAATGATGATCACTGCCGCAAGAGAGTCCCCTGCACACTCTAACTTGCTGCAATTTCAACTTAGTAGTGTGCTTTACAATTATATAATCGATGATGGATTTCAATCCTCGCGTTGGCTGGACCCAGGTATACTTATGGATGTCTTTGTGTTGAAAAAAGCCATTCAAAATTTTCATCTCAGTTTGAGAACAAATTGAGATGAGCCGATCACCGTTATCATTAACAGCATCCTCCCCAAACGGTCCAACAACTTTACAGTTTACTCGTCGTCCCGTTCTGCTGTTCAAATCACCCATAAGAATGGCTTCCCTGCCAGCACCAACGTTCAGTATTTCATCATTCAGATCTTCGAAGAATTGGTCCTTACATGCGACAGTGGCATCATCATTTACACCGTATACTCCGAGCAGCGTGATCTTATGTCCGTACAGGTTAAGGTTCATTTTGATAATGCGCTGGTTGACGGCCTCCCAAGTGCCCACGAACTTACGTAGGCTTCTCCGCAAAAGTATTGCTACTCCTTGCTGAGCACGCTGATCTTTGGCTACGCCGCTGTAGAATAGATCATAGTCACCGTAATTCTCTGACCCGTGCCCTTTTTTCTTGGTCTCAGTAAGAACAGCGACATCCACTCCAAGTTTCTGAATCTCCGATATCACTTCCGGTAACTTATTTGAAATGCCTTGGACATTCCACGTCCCAAATACCATTGTCCGTTTTCTCAATTTTTGTCGACGTGTCCGTTTAGTTGTAGTGGTACCGAGGCTTGTATTGTTAGGTCGTTTAACAGTAAAACTTTTTACAAGTACCGGGGAGTTAGCCCGATGACTCAACCCCCAACCTGGAGGACCAGGGTTTGATTTCGGAGTTGCCTCTCCTAGACAGGTTGCTTTCACTTCAGCTCAGAGCCCTGTCTGCCCTTCTAGCAGGTGGTTCATACGCCCAGAGGCCGGTGACCATCTCCACTGCCCCCTTTGAGGCAGGGGCTACCAGCTGGGGTCCGCAGGATTGCTAAACCTGTGACAACAGTCCCCCATACGGGGCATCACCAAAAATAAGCATCTAATTCAAATATTAGTTCAGTTGACTTTCATTACATGAGTGCGTCCAACTGTGACCGTCTAAGGGAGAGAGACCATTAGTACCTAGGTACGTGTACCGTAAAAGCTCTTTGATTTATATATGCTACTTCTGATAAAGGCGTATCTATTTTACAAAAATTATTCATTAAGATGCCCTTCTAAGAAGTCTTTGTCAAGATGCATCCAGCGCAAAGGGTTGTGAATTCATTTTAAAAAAGAGATGTGTACAAAACGAAACTAAGCTTTCCATTTCTTCTGGAAAGAGATGAGAGACTACGTAAAACAACAAACTCTCCGATTCATATCAGATGTGGGTTCCGTTTGATAAGATTGATTCATACACAAAAAAGCAGCTTCCATTAGTTTTAAGTCGAATAGTGGGTACCAAAATAATGGGGAAAAAGTCATTTTTCGCAAGTTATTGTTAGTGAAGTGATTTAAATATGACATCGACGTGCGCATTTATCGTTATGATTGTTACCGCCTATGCTTCTGCTGGGGTGAGTATGGATTTTATACTTGCCTTTTAATTAAAGCATAACGAGTTGGAAAATAAGAAGGAGATAATCAGCCACTAATGGTATGCTTGAAAAATAAATGAAGAAAAATTTGATAACAGAATTAGCAATTTTTTTCGTCGCAATCTTAGCATTCTGTCATTTGCTCTTATTTGCTGCACAGTCATTTATTGTGCAACTCCTCAGAATTGAGTGTACTATCTGGGAAAGGGTCCATGTCTAACAACTCATAAGCTGAGGGATTTGTTGTTGACATTGGTCCCTATACATATACCTCAGGGGCTTTAATACAGTTGCCGGTCACCCCTCCTCGCATGTCAAATTATTCGATTATAAGTTTCGACTCACGAAAAAGCGGGTGTACAAAAATCCACGACCTATGCGACAGCCTATATAAGCAAAGGATACCAACACCCATACGCTTTTGAACTTTCGCTTGTTTAATACCCTCTCTGAAAGTTCACCGAACTCGCATTTTTCGCCGATGGCGCGATTCAGCGAACTCCTGGAGACTCCGACCGGAACATCGGACTCCTGGGATCATTTCTAAGGGGAGTAGCTTCAAAGGGGGGGGGGGCAAATCATCGATGCTATCTTCTGATGATAAATGGAGTGAAAAGATTGAACAATCACTGGGGGAAAAAAAAACACATTGGATCTAGAGTCCAGACTTTTAAAAACATCGACAAGAAAAAGTACACTTGAGTCAATCAGAATCTAGCTTAGATCACAAGCCTCTTAATTTAAGCAGATTTCGTTTTGATTCAAGCAAAAATCCTATTGAGTCAAGAGTATTTTTTCTTGTCAATGTTTTCAAGAGCCTGGACTCTAGATCCAATGTGTGTTTTTTTTTTCCAGTGATGGTCGTGGGTAAAAGATCTTTTCTATCCTTTCTCGGAAAGAATATTTAATCGGGAAGAGTGAGGCAACGTCGGAATGCTCATACGGCGTCAAAACACAGCATGCGCCTTGTAAGCTATATTATTCGATGCCGCGATCTAACGCGAGTTCGAAAAATCGCGCCAAACACAGCGCGGCCGCGGTCGGGCCGCCGTTAAAAGTATATCAGCGCCTGCAAGACTGTAGGAATACTTCACGCACTGCGCCAAACAGTGCGGTCGGCGCACAGCCCATACAAGCGCCTACAAGTCTACATGAATACTTCTCGCATTGCGCCAAACGCAGTGCAGTCTATCAGTTAGTGTGAAACGCATATTACCGCCTGTAAGACTGTAAGAATGCTGTAGGATTGCGTGTCCTGCATCGTTCTTGAGTTTCTGCTCAAGCTATACCACAAATAAAGGGGAAATATGTATCCTTATTGTAACTATTCAGGAGCTTGGATGATATTTAATTTTTTTTTCGCTTACATTAAAATAAAAATAGAACGAACGAAAATATCGTGTCGAAATTGTCGATACTTTTATCTGAGATCATTTAGGTAAAGCCGCGAAAACTTTTCAGAAAAACTGTGTGTAGCTTTTTAAGCAGATTTTTTAATAATGAAACATAAAAGTTATGCATAACATTGCAATCAGAGATAAATTTACGCTTTCTTTCGGGTGCACCTGCACCCGTTGGGTTTTGAATTCATTCATCTCGTAAAAAACTTGAACATGGTTGTTCTACGATTTTTACGTGTAGTTTATCTCAATAATAGGCGGCCGCGTAGCGTCCACAGGCCCCTAGTTGACTTTTCAAATGTCTATGAAAGCTCTCTGGGCCATTCGTGCTGAGAGGGCTATCCGCGAAGAGAGACATGCCCGTAAGTGAGGAAGGAATGAGCAGTCTTCCGCGATGCAGTTATCTACCACAAACTACCAAAATTTTCAGATTCACACTTCCTCTTGAATATTGAATATTTGCGCAAATACGTGAGTCTTCAGTACCAGAAAAATTCGCGCAATCCTATGCATTTCCAAAAAGGTGAAAAGGGGGCATTCGCGCAATCCTAGCGCAGCCTTACCGTCAAACAGCGTCACCTCGTGATGATGTCGATGTTGACCTTCTGACCTTCTGACTGATGTTGGAATAAACAATTACATGCACATCATCAGCTCCACATAAAATTGAATTCCCTATAAACTCTTTTGCCAATTAAGGCCCATTATTTGATTATAAGTTTCTACTCACGAAAAAGTGGGTGGACAAAAATCCACGAGCTCTGCAAAGGCTCATGCTAACAACGAATACAAAACCCCTAAGTTTTTGAACTTTCGCTGCCATTAATCGTGAATTCAATCTTTTATCACTTCTCGAAAAATTGCGGTCAAGATACTGAAGCTAGAGTAGAGTCGAATGCCCCGAAACGAGCAGTTTTGATTGAAAAATCCCCAGTGTTCAGCTGGCTTATTTTATTCGCAATGCTAATTAGTGAATTAATAGTTGAATATGAATATTAATTGAGCGTATTAATAGTTAAAGACGCCCTTTCAATTTACGACACAATAGAATTGAACGTATTTATGATAAAAGGAACTAGAGATGTGTGGAAAAGATGGAGTATAATTATTTAAGCTGCATAAAAAACAATGTAAAAGTGGCGGGATTTATTTTGGGAAAATAGAAAAGTGGGAAATTACATTAAATCAAAAGGGACAGAGCGCCGAAATATGTTAACTCATGAGCCGCGGGCATGCCACAAGAATTTTGTGGACAGAGCTCATGAGTTAAAGACTCAAATCCGCGAATGGTTGTCTCCGTCGTTGCCGCTAACGTCACTGGCGCTTTATGATTCCCATTGATCCTTATAGTACGGTGGCTTATGGCAAGTACGCTGCAAATCGTGATTCAGTTTTGCCACTTTGGGAGGTCAAACTAGATGATATTTTAAGAGTTTTGAGTCGAAGAGGCATTTCCAAAATGGTGGCAGATCCAAGATGGCGGCCATTCAAAATGGCGGCCGGGGCGTACTTTGAGCCGCTCTAGATCGAGATCCACTGAACCGATTTAAATTTTCTTTTTTTTGTTTGATAGATAATAGAAAGGTAATTATAACAAAATCACAAAATTTTTGATTTTGACAATATACAGGGTGTTTTTTTTCATAAAAACCGGGTTTCGCGTGTGGAAAAAAATCTTCTAATTCACATAACTTTCAAAATCGTATTATTAAGGTCACTTTAAATACTCACCATGTAAAAGAGCGTCTTTTAAGCTTTTCAACGATATATTACATGATGGGTCTATGATTTAAAGTTTCCGCGCCACTGCGATCCGCGCGGCGGCGGCACAGCGCGGGCCTGTATAAATTAGTCCACGGGCCTATGTTGAAAAGAAGCCTCCCGTGGAAAAGTAGATGTAGTAAGTATGGAAAATGGCCTGACCTCTTCTTTTCGATGTGTAGAAAAATAATTTTGATGTTGTCAAGCTCAATTTTGCGTCCAACCCCTCCAATTCAACGTGGCGGCCAAAATGGGGGCTCGGGGGTTGAAAATGTTGGAATTTGTTTTTGATGTCGTGTATGGGGTCTATCGCTATGTAAATTTGGTCGTAGAATCCGAATTTGAGGTCCAAAATTGTCTCCGGCTCAAAGAGATGCCCAAAATCCAATATGGCCGCCAAAATTTCCACGATAGGGTCAAATCTCCGAGAGTTGCGTAAAAGCGCCGAGTAGGGTATCTTTCCTAGGGTTTTTTGGGTCGTAGATTTCACTGATGAGGTCAGAATTTTACTACAGGTTTACTGAAGCCCAAAAATGTCAATATGGCGGCCAAATGGCTGCCGTTGCGGGGTGAAATATTTTGTTGAGGCTCGTATCGTCGAGTGAGGTGTCCCTGCATGGGTTTTTCGGGTCGTAAATTCCACAAATGAGGTCCAAATACCCAAACAGGCCCATAAAAGTTCTCTAAGAACCAAAGTGGTGGCTAACATGGCCGCTCAAATAGTGAGAACGGTAGAGAAGTTACCTTTCATACAATGATGAATTTTCGTGTATGTTTTGTACTCCGCTGATTCCGGATGTAGTCCAGGATGTCAAGAAAATAATTGAAGTGGATACGTATACCACGTAATATGCAATGCTTATGAGATTTTGCAACCCACACTTCCTTTTGGAGAAAATGTACGACTTACTCATACTCAGAAAATTTGGCAGTTATGGACACGGCAAAAAAATAAAGTATTTGGGGAAAATCCTGGGACTCAGCATGGAATTGTCAGTTCACTGATTGCAGGAATGCTACACGTCTCTTGACAATTTCATACACTGTGTATTTTGAATGAAATTTTTACAAATTCATCACACGGAACAAAATCTTCGATGTTTATGGGTATATGTTATAATCCATGGGTACGACAAATCTTCTCTTTTGCACAATGCAAATGTTATTTTTCCGTTTTGTGCTCAAAAAGAGGGTAAACATTTTTCCGTGCATATGATAGGGTGGACACCTATTATGTACTTTATTGGCTGCTTAAACCAGTTTTGGTTTACCTAATTGTTCTCTAACATTAAGAATGTTGCAGGAGTCGAAATGTCCAACAAATGCGTTTTAGGGGGAGGAGGATACACTTTTGGAAAAAATTTCCCCTCGAAGTGTTATACCAATACTGCGCACAGGGATTGGCTGATGGTGGACTTTTTTGTATTGATTTAACTTAAACCTCAGCTTATTTTTAAAATTGTGGTAAGAATCCTGCTCTCCAAAGTTGGAATACCCTTTCGTCCGCTGAACTCCCAAGCTGCACTCCTCGGGTCAGCTCGTCTCTATTTGTCCTCGTCCTGGACTATGTCCGGCCTAAAATAACCCAAGCAGAAAAAATTCTGACACGTGAGGTTTAGGACATCCTGTGCATTTGACTGTCAAAGCCGGAGATGGTATCCATTTTCTCCTATCATGCTGCAATTTTCTAGAAAATCTTCATTCGATAGGGAAAAGAGGATATCTTTACCCTAGTATATATTGGCTTTAGAATCTATGTCCCAAATACCATAGACCTATAGCCGGCTATGAGATTTATTATAGCATCTATTGACCGCTATACGCAGTTTCTTGCAGTATTTGATAGACGATGGCGATAAAGTTATTGTTAGGCAATAAACTGTTTAGCACGGCTGTTTGATTTCCTTCGCTTTCTAAAACCAGCTACCTATACGAATTCTATCGCTTTTTGTAACCGGATATAAGAATTTCTACGGAACTTTGAACACCGGGATCCTATTGAGAATTTCAGCATGCGGTATCCGGGCTCAGCCCTAAGATTCCTCCTAGAGTAACTATATGAGATCTTTGCCTCATACTCAGCAATACGTCTATGTAAGTGAGGAGCTTTCCGGAAAAAGGGCACATATAGCAAAAAATGGCCTTTGAGAAAAATGCATTCGAAGTTTCCATCATTATAATTATGGCCACTGACTGTGACTTACGTTCGAAATCTTCGAAATTTTGAGCACAAAACGGAAAAATAACATTTGCATTGTGCAAAAGAGAAGATTTGTCGTACCCATGGATTATAACATATACCCATAAACATCGAAGATTTTGTTCCGTGTGATGAATTTGTAAAAATTTCATTCAAAATACACAGTGTATGAAATTGTCAAGAGACGTGTAGCATTCCTGCAATCAGTGAACTGACAATTCCATGCTGAGTCCCAGGATTTTCCCCAAATACTTTATTTTTTTGCCGTGTCCATAACTGCCAAATTTTCTGAGTATGAGTAAGTCGTACATTTTCTCCAAAAGGAAGTGTGGGTTGCAAAATCTCATAAGCATTGCATATTACGTGGTATACGTATCCACTTCAATTATTTTCTTGACATCCTGGACTACATCCGGAATCAGCGGAGTACAAAACATACACGAAAATTCATCATTGTATGAAAGGTAACTTCTCTACCGTTCTCACTATTTGAGCGGCCATGTTAGCCACCACTTTGGTTCTTAGAGAACTTTTATGGGCCTGTTTGGGTATTTGGACCTCATTTGTGGAATTTACGACCCGAAAAACCCATGCAGGGACACCTCACTCGACGATACGAGCCTCAACAAAATATTTCACCCCGCAACGGCAGCCATTTGGCCGCCATATTGACATTTTTGGGCTTCAGTAAACCTGTAGTAAAATTCTGACCTCATCAGTGAAATCTACGACCCAAAAAACCCTAGGAAAGATACCCTACTCGGCGCTTTTACGCAACTCTCGGAGATTTGACCCTATCGTGGAAATTTTGGCGGCCATATTGGATTTTGGGCATCTCTTTGAGCCGGAGACAATTTTGGACCTCAAATTCGGATTCTACGACCAAATTTACATAGCGATAGACCCCATACACGACATCAAAAACAAATTCCAACATTTTCAACCCCCGAGCCCCCATTTTGGCCGCCACGTTGAATTGGAGGGGTTGGACGCAAAATTGAGCTTGACAACATCAAAATTATTTTTCTACACATCGAAAAGAAGAGGTCAGGCCATTTTCCATACTTACTACATCTACTTTTCCACGGGAGGCTTCTTTTCAACATAGGCCCGTGGACTAATTTATACAGGCCCGCGCTGTGCCGCCGCCGCGCGGATCGCAGTGGCGCGGAAACTTTAAATCATAGACCCATCATGTAATATATCGTTGAAAAGCTTAAAAGACGCTCTTTTACATGGTGAGTATTTAAAGTGACCTTAATAATACGATTTTGAAAGTTATGTGAATTAGAAGATTTTTTTCCACACGCGAAACCCGGTTTTTATGAAAAAAACACCCTGTATATTGTCAAAATCAAAAATTTTGTGATTTTGTTATAATTACCTTTCTATTATCTATCAAACAAAAAAAAGAAAATTTAAATCGGTTCAGTGGATCTCGATCTAGAGCGGCTCAAAGTACGCGCCGGCCGCCATTTTGAATGGCCGCCATCTTGGCTCTGCCACCATTTTGGAAATGCCTCTTCGACTCAAAACGCTTAAAATATCCTCTAGTTTGATCTCCCAAAGTGGCAAAACTGAATCACGATTTGCAGCATTTGGCCCTTTTTTGGCGCTAAGCCACCGTACTATTACGGCCTTCGAGTAACGAGCAAACTCTTTCTTTTCCACCCGTCGCTGGTTCCTTTCCGCATTTATGCATCCAATTTTTCCAACGTTTTACTTACAGAAAAACTAATTGGCATGCATGAGCTCTTTGAATCGTGCCTAATTCTACTATAGAAAATAATCAGGAAACACCTCAAGTGGTCCATTCTGCCGTGCTAAGGGAGAACGCCGTATGAGCCTCGACGTGCCATATCTCTCTCAGTGAAAAACGGGTTTACGGGGAAAGCAGAGAATATTTTTCTTCAAATTTTTCAGAAAAAATTGTTTGGTATTTGATCTAAAATATCTGAGAGTTTCAAGGAAAAATACACAAACATGTCTTCAAAACTACATGTTTTACCCGGTAATTGGCAATTATTGCATGTTCATACGGCGTTCCTCCTTAGCATGGCAGCATTCCCTCTAACTGTATAGGTAGGGTCGTAACAAAACGCTCAACTGAATACTGATCGTGCATATTTGATCGTTTGAAGGTGATTCCGGTGCCAAAAGAAAATGCGTCAAGTGATTTGTTAAAAGACATAGTACCAGTCCATCAGCACAAAACTTTAGCTACGTTGATAGCCGAGCTCAAAGGCTTGGAGATATGGCGGCAAAACGAAGTCAAAAAGGCTTTTAAGGACCCAGAATTGGTGAGAGATCCGAATTTGGTGAGGTATCTGCTATCTCTGGTGGAACTCGATAAGCGATGGTTCGTCTATTCTGTCAGGATACTAGACTCTCTCGAAATGCTGGATCATCCTGATGACAAAACCTCGGAAGAAATACAACAGGTGAAAATCCCTGTCAGAGGCGGATCTAGCAATTTGGCATCACCAGATTTTCTCCAATTAAAGCTATGCTAAAAGATTGATTCTTGTCAGAGCACCTGGCCCTTTCAAGAATCGATACATTTCCATAGGTTTAAATGGAGAAAAAACAATGTTTCAAGTTTGCTGGATCCGCCAATGATCCCTGTGAAGTGTGAATTTCCAATTTTCTTTTTAATTACTATTGCTCACCCCCGGGTCATGATAACTGTTAGAATCTTTAAAATCTCTGCACTAACCTGCAGCCCTTAAATTAAATGTTTGGAGGTCTTAAATCGGAATTTTTAATACGAGAAGCGTTTCCTGGAAACTTCTCATAGCTTTTTCTTCGATTCGAGGCGTTAAAATTGCAATTAGATTGAAATCATAAAATCCTCGAGACTTAAAGTTCTGGAAAATCTGGCATAGTACTTGCTAACTTTTATAGAGGTTGACGAAAGTATTTTTGCCCTTTTTATATACATAAATCATAGTGGTTTTCTCGCGTGCTTTATTTATTACAATCTGACGGCTGGCAGAAGGCAGCTACTTAAAAAATCATTCAAAATTAGATGCACAGAAAATTAAAAGGTAGTACCTAATAGCGCTGAGCAGTTGGAACAATATTTAGCAGATTTTTAAGAGTGGCTTTCAGTCCGACATGAAATCATAATTGTAACCCAAAACAAAGTTGATTCATAGATTAATAATTTCCCTAAAGCCCTTTTGTAGAATTTCTTAGGGATTAAATCCTGAAAAGTCACGTAATTAAAAAAAAAGAAAAAAAAGCTAACTACGGAACTTTTAGTCTTTGAACATGTTGTCCTTCTTCCTCTCTGAAAATGCAACTATTTTAACGCGAAGAACTGTTTTTGCCGATTCCTCCAAACTGAAAGCCATACCTTCGTGTCATAGTATGGTTAATACATCGAAACTAGCATAGAGGGAATATTCGCCTTAATGTCAACGAGATCCTAGCGAGTTCACATTCTTAGATACCGTGTGATGTAACCTTTTTTATATCAGAATACATCAAATCCAAGTCTAATAGTGCACAAGTCATTATGCCTGTTGTCCATAAAGTATGACCAAACTTTTATTATTTTACGTATGCAAAATTTGATGTAACTTTTTCCTAATTATCACAAGTTTTGGCGACTCAGATGAACCTTATTTGGTCATAAGTTTGAGGGAATTTTATATTAATTGAGAGTGAATCTGTTTCTGCTATCCCGGCCGCTATTCGGCTTAACTCCGGAATTCCGTGTCATACTAGTTTACTTTCCTCTTTGAGCACAACCTTATAGACGTCATTATTGGTTTTTTGTTTGTTTTTGGTAGGCAACCGACGCTGTCCTTTATTTTAACCGCCATCAGGATGCAATTAAAATGAATATTCATCAGATCAAGGCTACTGTCGTTGAAGCAGAAACCCAGGTCCCAGATGAACTTCTCAAAACGCATCAAATGGAGGTGGTAACTACAGCATTTCATCTCACTTACGTGAAATTACTTGAAGCATTCAATGAGTACGAAGCTCAAAGTTCGCAGACTAAGTCCACGTACTCAAGAAATTATGTTGGCACGCAACTCTTTCGAGTCTTAGCAGTATGAATAGATAATTATATTTTGTATAGGTTAATAGATTAAGTAGTGTGAATAATTAATTTTTTACTTAATTTAAATTGTACGTGCTATGTAAAAATAAATGGATTTTTTTTCTAAGTTTGACCCCTTTTTATAGAGTTTTATTCAAGTTCCCATAGTGGTGGTTTCCCCTATCAAAATAAATTTGTTGTATTTTTCCAGACTTTTTGCTGTGCAAAGCCATTGAGAATGGATTTTTTTTCTGCATTACGATAAATAACAATAAGAAGGGAAGAATATGAGACTTTTTAAGGTATTAGCCCCCCTCCGTCCGTCCCCACAGATTCCACTTTTATACCACGTCCCTGATCAGAAATCGAGTTCTATCACCTATCTCTATACCCACCAACAATAAAAATATCTAAATACTGGTCCAACTGTATGGTCCATCGATGGAGACCGGAAGGGTTCATCAACTTGCTGTTCCTCCCAATTGAACTTAAAAGTTCTTCACAGAAAAGATAATTATTTCTAATTTTTAGTTTTCTCGACTGCACGAAATTAATTCTCTACACTTTTCAGAGGATGCTACATCACAGTTTTCCAGCAAAAGAACGATCGATGTAGTTTGGTAATTACTGATGTTACTCTGTCCCTTTTTGTCCAATGTCACCCATTTTCCCTCCCAACTTTCGTATCTTCAAGACACTTCCTTACATTGAAAACATATGTTTAAAATGCAACATTTCTATTTCCTGGGTCAACTTGAGGGGTATGAATTCTCATCAAGTTTAAGAATCATCAGAAAGCTGACATAATCCCTTTATCAAAATGTATAGGCCCATTTCTTCTGTCATCATCAATGTAATCAGATGTTACCTCATCGGAGACTGCAAAGAATCGCCCGTGATAAGAGAGCAACACACGCCCAAGCGTTGTTGTGGATTATTGAGTCATACATAATTTGCGTTAGTTAAAAATGACCTATTGAATGGAAAAGAGGTTCAAAATCATTCGAGTTGGAGTTTGAATATCAAAACAATGCTTTTAACAGTGATACTTTGTGCTGCGTTTGTTATTTCCGATGTTTGTGCAAGGGTAAATACACCACACTTCTGAGTGATTTTAATTTTATCAATTTTTTGCAGAAGGGCGTAAGCCCATAAGAACATTGCATTCATTCAATTGGGAACTTACTGAATTTGTTTAGTTGTAAGTGTTTTTGCCAAATTGCTATTTGTTTTTCTCTAATTCCACTCTATCAACACACAGCAACCTGGACCGCTAATGTTAGTAACCAAGTAACCAGTTAGCTGTATGGCTTAACTTTTCTGATGAAGTTAAGATGGAGGTATTTTCGAAGTTTAGCGTCGGACTGATTATTGAAACTGATAGACAAAGTAATAGACAGGGAAGACGAAGAGAAAATTGAGCGATCCTATAGGTGGAAGTGGACTTTGGCGATAGACAATGGTGGTAAATAGTAGAATAACTAACGACAACCCCGGGATACCATATTCCTCATCATTTTCCCCCTTAGTCTGTAACAACAGCCCATTTCAAACAACAGGATCCCTCCATTTTGCATTTCTATTCTTTGTGTGTAGCTTTGTCTACCAATTTCACCAATCAGCTCGCTTACTTCAGATTGTTATAGACGTCGACGTCAGTGTGTGTTTTCAAAAAAGCACTATTTCGTGATGAGTTTCCCTGAGAAATTAAAACAGTATTTCTGCCATGGTTTATTATCCGTCTGTGACGTGTTGGGAGTGCGGGTAATAGTAGCAGGTAGATAATAAAATAAATTGGGCAGTAAAAACACCAACCCATAGGCTATACAAAGACTTCGACGAAGCTCAAGAAGTCAGTTAATCAGCATCTTTAAGTCTCGAAATCAAGCTTGAAAAATCGAGATTTGGGATTCGCTGAGCTTTCAATGTAACAATTTGTCAGTTTTCATGTTGAAGTTATCAAAAATGTCACTCTACTTGCGTCTTAAAGGTTGCAAACTTTATTTCAATTCTTGCTGTGTCCTTATGAAGCTGAGATAGAGAATGAGGAAAAAAACCGAAAATTTCGTTGGTTCATATGAAAAACTGTAGACTTTCTGTAGAGGGAGTTAAACGAAAACCCGTTAGAGAGCTATAATAAAATGATGTACAAAATCTTACAAACCGTATTCTGATATTCTTAATTGTGTTCCTTTAGCAGAAAGACTCTCAACCGTTTTGTTATAGTGTTAATAGGTTTTCCAGCATAACTTGAAAATTATGCTTGAATCAAGGAACCACCGGAATATGACCAATGAGCTAATCAAGCTGATTTTCTTTTTATTCATTCTCTTTCTTCATTCAATTGAAAAGCTTATCCAAATCAGATGGATGACACACTCATAAAGAGCAATCAGGTCTAACGGGTAAGAAAAGTCGGCTCATTTGATTAAAAAAGAGTTTATTCACCCTAGAAGTCAAATTACCTCGTTTACAGGCAGTGCCAGCCGCTGTTAGTCCAGAACCAGCTACCGAAAGCGTAGATAAGTTGTTGGACGATCTCAAGGTAATAGAGAAGGATCGAAAGGCACATTTAAAAAAGGCGCTCCGAAAACCAAAATTCATGGCGGATCCTAACACGATGGAAAAACTGTCAGTCTTTTCGATGGTGGACTCTCTTTTCATTGAATATCACAATTACTACGATGCGATGAATACGTTGGTTCATTCTCATGAAAAATCGACGGATTCGCACGAGGTGAAATTTGATTGAAAAACATTAAATTGTCCTAGGATAGGTATAAGGCTGTCGGGGAAATAACTGAAGGGATAGCATAAAAAAGAGAGAAACTAAGCATAAGTAGTCGACCCTGTAGAATCACAAGAACTGTAGTCATGAGTTATATGGTTGTCCTTAGGCTTTTCAAAAACACTGCCTCTCATTGTTACGATAAACAAAGTCCTTGTCTTTGAAAATATGATAAAATTGATAAATTACATGACGTTTTCCTTAAGTTCCTGGCTGCTTATAATATCACTTAACTTTGACCTTAAAATAATTAAGGAGGAAAACGGGAAATGAAAGACACAGAGTGCTTAAAATTGACAACTCGTATAGTGATATCATTTTTGCATCCAGTGCTTTGAAATTTTTGTGTCAAGAATTGAAAACTGCATGAAACTTATCAAAGTTACGGTAGTTTTGAAATTACAGCTTTAGAAAGGAGAAAATACAGATTTTAAGTCCTAGAAATTGTTAGGAAAAATATAGGAGGAGAAAATAGTTTCGTATATTTGATAAAAAAAATTTTTTTTCCAAAAATGTAATTATAGATGATTTCTTATTAAGTTTCGTTTCATAAAATTCGCAGAGGAATTTGCATCCACCAGTAATTCGTGTCGGAGAGTATACGTGATTCCAATAAATCTCACAAATAAATACTTGCAGTTCGAGAATGTGTCCTTCTTGTGTTAACTGCCACACACTCAAAATACTTTTTAATAATCTTGACCAAGATTCATGCTCCCTGGTATAAATTGGCGATAAATGCTGCGTTTCAAAATACCATAGGAATTCTTATAGCCGGCTAAAGAAGGATACAGAAAATCATATAGCTGGCTGTAGAAAGCGGAGCAAATCATACGGCCGGGGCTATACGAAGCGATAAAGAATTATGCAGCCAGGCTATAGTTCTTATCGCCGGGCTTTACACTTTATCGCCTGTCTGTTGCTTTTTCGCCATCGATTATAAAAGGCTACAAGAAGTTGTGTAGAAATTCGTGTGCTTTGGAAATCATTAAGTTTGATACGGAACCACCTTAATATTTACAAAACACACATTATATTTTCCTTTAATACATATTTTTTTTCATCAATTAAAATGATTTAACACAAAGCGGAGCGGCGACGCACTGGCGCCTACAAACCTAACAGGGATACTTCACGCATTGCGCAACGCGTGAAGTATCCCTGTTAGGTTTGTAGGCGCCAATGCGTGTTTCGCGCTGGCTGCCCGCCTGCCACGGCACTTGAAGCAACTATTTCACACCAGAGGTATTGCACAGTATCATACGAAACTGAAGGCGCTCTAATATATTAGTAGTGGCTGGCATCCATCAAAAGTACGGAGCTTTCCTCGCAAATAAATCAAGATACTACGACCCAAAAAGAGAGCAGTATTCCAAAAACTCACCAAGTCCTAGCATCCGTAATGAGTAACGTTTAGCATACAATTTATCGCCTGGTTCTTGCTTAGTTGCCATCGGCTATAAAAGGCTATAAGAAATTGTGTAGCCGTCTATAGAAGCTATTGGAAATCTTACAGCCGGCTGTAGGTCTATAGTATTTTGGAACACAGATTCTACTGCCAATTTTTACCAGGGCTAATATTGATTTGAGATTCTGGCATCTTCTACATAGAGGTATAATAATATGTATATTTTGTTATTTCATGAATGAGATGTAATGCTTTTACAGAAGCTTTCTTTTATTTTGAACGTATAGGGATAACAATTTTTCTTTCCTTATTCACGTTCAAATCCTTCACTCTTGCTTTAAAAATTACAAATCTGTTTCAGGTTTTAGCGACTATTAGAAGCTCCAGAGAGCGCTTGATTCAACTCTATAAAGCCATTACAGCAAAACAAGAAAAACTCCACCGACCCAGTAAAGGACCGGACAGCCACATGCACTTGTTTACAACTATATTCAAAGATACTCTCAGAAAGAATGTTGAAATTGAGGCACAACTGCGCGTTGAATTTGAAAATTCCCCGTTCATAAAACATGTGAAAAATATACCCAACGTGTCCCCAATATAACTGAATCCTACTCAAAAAAACGAGTAGCTGTTGTTACGTAATTTTAGTGGGTAACATAAGGCTTCGCACGAAATCCTCCTCTCCCCAACCTCTTCCCTCTTTTATTTCTTAAGTGCGTTTTTTCATGAAAATAGTTTGAATTACGGTATTTTGATAATTTAAAAAGAAAATCATTGGAAGATCATAATACGACCTACGAATACGAAAAAACATCATATCAAAAACTGTAATTCCACCCGTGAAAACATAAACGCATTAAAAAGTCGTGATGCAACTTTTTACTGGTATAACTTTCCAAAACAATCAAAAGTATTCGATACATGTTCATTAGAAATTCGAGATGTCATCGCCCAAAATTTTTACAAATTGTCATTTTGCTAGTTATTAATGTAAAAAGACACATAAATATACATGTACCTATTTTATAATATGTTTTACTGTGCAAAAATGTGTATTATACTGTAAGATTGAAAATACATAGATCGCGCTCAAAATGCATTTGCTAAGGCTGAGGATATTCATTTTTAAATTTTTTTCGAACCTAATAAACCTTTACATGCGTCTGAAACCATTTCTAGAATCAATTATTTTATCCGTAAAAAATGTTTTGATTGATCCTTCCAGGGTCGATTTTCCGCAATGACTCTTAAGCAAAAACAGCCCCGGCTTCCGAATCAAATCAATTGAAGGCGATCCATCCTTCTTTATTCTAATGGCTGGATGCAACTATTCCTGCTCTGAAGCCTCCAGTGTTGCATAGGCAAAATAATGAAGGAGAACTGATTTTCCTTACGCACTTCTCGCAACGCGTTAGGATATTATTAAATTCTGATCAGCAGGAGCCTTGGGAGACATCGTTCTTTACCAATTTCCCAGTCCATAGGAATTCTAATTTGTTTAACTTATTGGGATTAATACTTCTCGACTCAAGTAGCACAGCTTGCAATAAATTTCAGATACGCGGTAAAATTATTGCTACTGCCTCGTGTATATTGCCCATCGGTTGATGGAAGGGACTCCTCTTATTAAAAATTTCGATAAAATTGAAATCAGTCGTAACATTTCTCTGTACTGCAAATTGCCTACATCGATGGCCAACGTGCGAAACCACGGATCTCCATCGCGATGTTTTAAAACTTCCGCCTCCACTTTATTTTTTCCAAGAGAAAGAAGTCAATCTGTTAGCTTGAAATTTATGAAAAATATTCTGCCAAAACAGAGGAAAAATCAAGGAAATTTTAGAAAAAATATGTCTAATACTTTTCCAATGAAAAGAAAAATGATAAAACAAACTAACACAGGAAATCTGTAACGTTGGAAACGGAGATGCGTGGTTTCAGATTTGGGCCATCGACATCGACGGTGAAACTACCAGGCCACGTATATTTAGATCGCTGTGTTTAAAAATCTCTGCTCCCATTTTATTTTATTTTTCTGAGGGGGAACAAATCAATATTATTTTTTGAAATTTTTACGCAATTTTCTTCGCATCGCGAGGGAAAAAGACGAATTTTTTCAAGAATTAACGTTGAGTAGTTTTCCGTTTAAGAAGTAAAGTATGTCAGGAGGTCTACAACGTCGCATACGTGGTCTGGAAGTTGCTCCGTCAATATGTTCCGAATACATGAAATTCGTGTTACTGATAGTAGATAATCCGCATTTATCGCCCAAATCATGTAAATTCAAGTTTAGACGCGAACTTTTAACGTGATCTACTTCTCCCTCTCCTGAAAAAGTTCAACCATAATACGAAGTATAAAATAAAAACAAGCAGTGAACTCCAACACAATGTGTTGATAAGGCGCGTCATTAACTCGCACATATCAACCCCTTTAGTTTTCATTTACAGAGATTTCAAAATAGGCAAACAGCATAAAAAGAGAATTCACGATCCAACACTGCGAGGTCAAAGACGCACCTTGACGAGACCGTGTATTGTGAAAGTAGAAAGCTATTCGATCGAATTTAAGTTTTTTGATCTGCCTCAAGCAAAATCTTATCAGATTCTTGAAGAAAAGTGCTACGGAATAATTTAAGCGAAGAAAGGAAAAATTCTGTCGAACTCCTAGAAGATAAAGTCGATTTAAAGGTATTTTGGGGCTAAAATACCCAAATCACCGGTAGTAAAAATCCCGTTATATTATTGAAAAGAAATTGACTCGATATAAATGCAATTGCATTAAATACGTCTTGATTTTGTTATTTTAAACGTCTTTCCATGCAAAGAAGTTCAACCATGTCGTTGCTTTATTCATTCATGAATTGAAAGTAAGCAATCTACATCCCGAAAATCTACTGATTTGCCGTAAAAAATTGCAGAAACTTGATATACCAGGTCGATGCACCCACTCGTTGAATTTACCAACCAATTTTGTGAGTGCA